GCTTTAACCCACTGAGCCACCCAGGCACCCCCCTTCTTCACTTCTTGATTGGATGATGAACACTGAAATAGTATATTGTTCATAGTCTGGGTTTTGATGTCCTGCTTTTAAAAATGTTGAGTTTTATCCAGAGGACATGAAATTAAAAGTTTATCAGCCAAACCTTTGGAAGCTTATTTTTAAGTTTTGTTAGAATGGATCTAGCAGTGGTATCCAATAGGAGTTTCTAGTGACATTTAGCTACTAAACACTTGAAATATGTCTAGTGCAGTGGATGAGCTGAAGTTTTAATTTATTTTAAGTAATTTAAAATGTGTGGATAGTGGCTATTGTATTGGACAACACATGTCTAGAGTTACTTCTACTCTCCACTTTACTCCTAAAGAGTGATCTTTCTGAGTGTCTGAATACCTGTGTGTTCAGTGTGTTCAGTGAGGCATCTCTGGCTGATTAGAATTTGAATGTCTTTTATTTTCATGCATGTTCCAACAGTTATTCAGTTTATAGCTCCTAACTAGTTATTCCTGGCCCTGTAGCATCTCACCCTACCCTCATACTCAGTGGGACACTTAAGTGGGTCCCCTATGCAGATTTCTAGAACTTTTTTCCTCTGTACTGTGGTATTCTACCCCACAAACTCTGACTTCCTCGGCCTCTGTAACCAACGTCTCCATCTCTTTAGCACGACTTTTGCTTGGGTTTGCCCACCCTATGCAGCAGCCCATAATATGTCTGCAGGCAGAAAGCTGAAGCAATACAGGGCTTATCTCATTTGTTTCCCTTCTCTCAGGAATCACAGTACTGTACTACCTATTGCTTAATATCTGATAAGTTGATAGTTGTTTATGGTAGAAAGACTAATGTGGTACTAGTTACTCTATCTTGTTCTCAAGTCAGCAGATGATGTTTTACTAACACCTCTATCCTCAGTCAAGTGGTAATGATTGCTGCCTTTGTCGAGGGCTGTGGCACGTTAAAACATTGAAGATTTTTCAGTTTAGCAAAATCATGAACTTTGTCTATTTATTTTTCATAAGAATAACCATTGATATAGAGATTCTGCTATTTACAAAGTTTTCACAACAGTTGTTCAATTTCACAAAATAGTGAGTTAAAATTTTAATTACTTAAACAGTTTAAGTATTGAAAAAACTTTATTTCTACTCTGAAGTAAAAAAAAAAAAAGGGATGGATATAAATTTGGTATGTTTATTTTTTAATGAAATGATAAATAATCCACCCGTTTATCGACTCTCTAAAGTCCACTACAGAAAAATTCACCTGTACGCTCTTCTACTATCTTATCAGTGCTCTGCTGAGCCAGTCCTTACAACTTCCCCAGTCCTTACAACAGTCCTTACAACAGCCCATGGAAGAAGACAGCATTGTTATCTCCATTTTACACAAGGAAACTGAGACACAGAGAAGTTCAGCAATACTGACAAGGTCACGGAGATAGGACATGCCCCAACTGGGATTTGTATGCAGGCGGTCCTATTTCAGAGCCCATGGTCTTAACCACAAACTTTCAGAAGACCTAACAATGTGAAGAGTATACATATGAGTATTTGAGGTGTAAATATTTATACATACACAGTCATTTTATTTCCATTTTTCAGATAAAGAAACGGAGACTGAGTCTCAATGTGGTTTTGATTTGAATTTCCCTGATGGCTAATGATGATGAATACTTTTTCATGTGTCTGTTAACCATTTGTATGTCTTCTTTGGAAAAGTGTCTGCTCATGTCTTCTGCCATTTTTTGACTTGATTATCTGTTATTTGGGTGTTGAGTTTGAGAAGTTCTTTGTAGATCTTGGATATCAGACAAAACACCATAGTTGTATTTACATTTAAGCCAGCTTTCCTCAGTAATAGTTACTATTTTGGTTGACCATGCACTTTGTTTTTTCTTTAAACTTTTCTTCTGTGTCAGTAGACCACCAAGGATCCAGGTTTCCATTTTTATCATACTTTCTACCTAGGAAAAAGGAAAGTTAAAAGATATTTGTACCACCTGTGTTCTCTTCTAGGATTTTTATAGTTTTAGGTCTCACATTTAGGTCTTTCATCCATTTTCAATTTCTTTCTGTGTGTGGCATAAGAAAGTAGTCCAGTTTCATTCTTTTGCATGTTGCTGTTTCCCAGGTTTCCCAGCAGCATTTATTGAAAAGAGTTACTTCCCACTGGATATTCTTTCCTGCTTTGTCAAAGATTAATTGACCAGCTATTTGTGGGATCATTTCTGGGTTTTCTATTCTGTTCCGTTGACCTATGTATCTATTTTAGTGCCAGACCCATACCATCTTGATGACTAAAGCTTTGTAATGAAAAAAGAAACTGAAACTGAAAAACACTTAAGTGACCTTCTTGGTGTCACAGTAAAAGATGGTTTGGCATGGAAATTATGTCTGTTTGAGTCAAAGACCTATGTAGATGGTCATCATTGTTGTTGTTTTTTAATGAAAATGTGTAATATTGGAAATAACAGTAGGGGTGTTCATTAAGCAAATCGTGGTACGATGCCAAGTCATAAAACCATCTTTTTTTTTATGTTGAAGAATATTGTCAGGGAAAAAAACAGCACATAAAAGGATATTTGTTTTAAACATATAAACATTTATATGAAGACCTACTTGCTTGCTCTTGGTTTATCTCTACACATTGAAATAAACATACTGTTTTTATTGATGAACATACTTAGACTTAAGGTGTTCTTCAAGAAAATGTAAGGAGGGGCGCCTGGGTGGCTCAGTGGGTTAAAGCCTCTGCTTTCAGCTCAGGTCATGATCCCAGGGTCCTGGGATCAAGCCCCGTATCGGGCTCTTTGCTCAGCAGGGAGCCTGCTTCTTCCTCTCTCTCTGCCTGCCTCTCTGCCTGCTTGTGATCTCTCTGTCAAATAAATAAATAAAATCTTTAAAAAAAAAAAAAAAAGAAAATGTAAGGAAAAATTCTTATTTTATGGTAATTCCTACTGTAAAATAGGCTTTGTTACACAATTATTTAAGTCCACAGATTCCTATTTTTTTCCACCTACTTTCATTTTATCTATTCCAAATATTTACAAAACTAGATTTCCTTTCATACATGATTTATGTTGTTTAATTTTCCTGGAGGCTGTTAGGAGGGGTCTGGTAACAATTAGTTTAAAAAAAAGAAAGACAAAAAGGAGATCCTTTTCTAGGAAAAATTATAATCTCCATGTTTCTCAACTTTGAAATTTTTAATGTCTTCATATGTTAAAATAATTAACATATTCACAGTGGGTTTATTTGCCTAAATGGTTATTGTAAGAAGGAAATTTGGCAGAGTGATGGTGAGTAAAGAGAAATTGTGTGGAGACAGAACAAAAGAAGCAACAGCTTTCTGTCCTCAATTGTCTTTGATGCAGAAGCTAGAGGCTTACACCAGCTGTAAGACTGCAACAGTAGAGCTGAGGTAAATAAAGCAGCGTGGGCAGCTTCAGGCGATGTGAGGTGACTGATCTTACACCAAAACCAAACAAGCTGCAGACCAACTTCTCAGTTGCGTTTTGCTACCTGTGGTGGGTTACTAGTGTAAGTTCAACCCTGCCCCATAGCTTTCATTCTTCTCAAGAGCTTCCATGAAGACACAGCAGGTCATAGAAGGTATTAAAGAGTATGGAGATAAGAAAAAGTATTTTTTCTAAATTCCACTATTTCCAGTATCACATTGAGAGAGACTTCCTTTGTGATAGATGGTCACTTCTCCTGAGAATTCTACAGGGTGCATAAAAGCCTCACTACTCTAACTCTCCTTGCACCTAAGAGCTGCCCCTAAACTCAGTTACTGTGGTTATTGAACTACTTATGGGGAATTGGTCTGTGTTGTAGAAATTACATGAATATTTATATTCTTTCCCAAACATGTTTTCTTTGAAGGAGGAGTTTCATTAGATGGCCCCTTTGTACCTAAAACTAATTCTATAACACTATACCCCCCCAGTAGAAACCATTGTTTCCAATGTGATTTTAATTATCAGTGTTTACCTTTTTAAAGGACTATTACTACTTGAAATTCACTTTAGAAACAGAAAGGTGGCATCATACATTTAGATACCCAGATGTTGCTTTTAAGTGTTGAATAAAATGTTGAAATTAAAACACATAACTTGGAAGAACCTGTTTTTGTCGGTGTTGTCAGATATTAGTTACATTAACATTTGTTTTTTTTTCATATTATAAATGATATATGTTAAGGAAAAATTTTAAAATACAGGTAAGCAAAAAGAAAATTTAAAAATACTACCAATTCAAAAGTAATTGTTAAGACAAAGGGAAAAAGGAATCAATAAAGATAAAGGTGTAATGACTTATTTCATCTGTTTTTAAGATGCACATCTTTTCAAATTTTAACATCTCTGAAATGAGGTTGTAGAGTTTGCCCTTTTTTAGTGGTACGTGTTAACAGTGATGCTTCTTTTTTTTTTTCGGTAGTATTTATTTATTTGATGGTGGGGGTGGGGAGAGAGAGAAAGAGTGCACGCACAGATGCTTCTTAAATCTTAAATTCAATGTTTCCTTTGTATTCAATGAAATACAGTAATTTGGGTTATAGATCCTTATGGGTAGAATAGCAAGTTTGAGGGACAGAATCTGGGTGCCCCACAGGACAAGTTTTAAAAAGCTGAGGGGTGCCTGGGGGCTCAGTAGGTTAAGCTTCTGCCTTCTGCTCAGGCCAAGATCCTGGGGGCCTGGAATCAAGCCCCGCATCCAATTCCCTGCTCAGTGGGAAACCTGCTTTTCCGTCTCCTTTTGCCACTCCCACTTGTGTGTTCTCCCTCTGTCAAATAAATATTAATAAAATTAATAAAATATTAATAAAAAATTATAAAATATGTCCTGTGCATATCTATATATTATTTAAATGCAAAGTATCATGTATATGTATATATTTATTAGCTATTTTATAAAACCTATAGTTTGTGTTTTCTTCTAACTAGAAATTTAATAATTTCTTCCATTTATATATACATGCAGGAAATACTAAAGAATGAAAAACATAGAGAAGAAATTAAAATGAAAAATCAAGATCTTTATGAAAAAGAAAAACTCCTTAGCAAAGGGAGCAATGAAGAACTTTTATCTCCACCAGTTCAAACTCAGATCAAAGGGCATGCCTCTGCTCCCTACTTTGGAAAGGAAGAACCCACCGCGGCTCCCACCAGCACTGGTAAAACCTTTCAGCCAGGATCCTGGATGCCACAAGGGGACAGGAACCCCAATCAATGAATATACTATGGTAGTATTTCATTTGTATGTAACTTTTTTAACAATAAAATAAGTAAAAAATTACTTTATTTTCTGACTGTACAGTAAGTAGTTCTCTAATCCATTAAGCTTAAGAATTCATTTTTATTATGCATAAAAAATGTGAGATTATGAACTATAGAAACCTTTTTTTTTTAAAGTAATCTAGGGGCACCTGGGTGGCTTAGTTGGTTAAGCGTCTGCCTTCGACTTGAGTCATGATCTCAGAGTCCCAGCATCTAGCCCCATGTCGGGTTCCCTGCTAGGCGCTAAATCTGCTTTTCCCTCTCCTCCTGCCCCTTCCCCTGCTCTTTTTACTCCTCCTTCTTGCTCACTCTCAAATAAATAAAAGATTTTTAAGTAATCTCTACACCCAATGTGGGGCTCAGACTTAAAATCCTGAGATCAAGAGTCACATGCTCTACCAACTGAGCCAGCCAGGCACTCCGAAACCTAACTTCTTTTATGTTTAACTTTTTTTTTTCCTTTAAAGATTTTATTTATTTATTTGACAGAGATCACAAGTAGGCAGAGAGAGAGGGGGACACAGGCTCCCCACTAAGCAGAGAGCCCGATGCTGGGCTCCATCCCAGCACCCTGGGATCATGACCTGAGCCAAAGGCAGAGGCTCAACCCACTGAGCCACCCAGGCACCCCTATGTTTAATTTCTTTATTTGCTTTAGTCATCATTCTGTTTATCAGTTCGCTTAGGTTTCCTCTCTTAGGATTGCTCCTTTGTGAAGTATCCTGTAGTCGTAAATGCTCAGTATATTTTGGATCTTTATGATCATTTCGGAACCCAAGTGTATATCATGATAGAAGGTAAGGCTAATTTGCGAGCTCTCCTAAAGTACCCAGTTAAAAAGAGAGAAAAATGAGAAGACTGCCATTTCTGGAGAGGCAGTCTGTAAGATTCTAAAGGATTAATCAAAAACATGAACTTGGATAAAACATGTGGAGGCCAAGAAAAGGTAGCCGATAATGGAAAGTCATGAAGACCTGGAGTTTGAAAAGAGGAATCAGGACCAAGAGACACAAAAGTCTGAAAGGACAGTAAAGAGAGAAATAGTACAATAACTGGAGTTCCCTAAGTTTAAAAATTATTTTGAGAGGGGCTCCTGGGTGGCTCAGTCAGTTAAGTGTCCAACTCCTGATTTTGGCTCAGGTCATGATCTCAGGGTTGTGAGAGCAGACCCTGCTTGGGATTCTAGCTCTGTCTCTCTCTCCCTCCGCACTATCCCTGCCGCCCTCCTCCCCCCGCCCCCGAAAAAGAAAAGAACAAAAAAAAATTCCTTTGAGAAAATGAAAAATAGAAGAGAGTACTCTGATTGCATGGACAGTGGGGATTCCAGTGGCTTGTATATTGAAGAAAAACATAGATGGGTAATGTTAAAACACCCATTATTATACAAAAGTATTTTTGAAGGATCATGTTTTCCGAAGTACACAACTAAGTTTTTATTGCTAAAATAGACTTCTCAGAATGTATGGCATTATAATAGGTGCTCAGTATATATTCACTGAATAAGTGATTCAAGTTTTAATGCTCTATAGGAAATCCCTGGTTACGTTTTAACAGTGACTTCCTAAAAACACCGGTTAACATTTTTACTTAATAGAAGTAAAAATTTTTAATTAAGAAATAAATTAGAGAAAAATACTTTATAAAATGTAATATTAAAACAAATAACCAAATATAATTACCATAACACACTTACTGAATGACAGAAAAGCCCCTTGGTAAAAATACTACCATTCCAGCAATCTCTTAATATGAGGTTAACCATTCTATCATTAAAAAATAATACTACATCTTGCCATACAGGCAAAAAGAACTAGCCACCAGGCAGTAAAGAAAGAGGTACAAATGACTGTAAATTAAGATGTTCCTGAGTCCTGGGTTACAAGAAAAATTGCAAATGTTCTAACATGCTAGACTATTTCTACTGCCAAGTTGCTATTAGCTTATTAACTGTATTCTATACATCTTTTTACAAATGTTCGCCTTACAGTATGTAAATATTTAACATATGACAGAATTTACATTCATTTTTATTTTTATGTTTTCATTGTAAAATACGTTGGTTTTTTTTTTAAAGAACAAACTGATGATTACCAGACGGGAAGTGGGAGGGAGGATGAGTGAAATAGGTGAAGGGGATTAAGGAAAGCACTTGTGATGAGCACTGGGTGATGTATGGAAGTGCTCAATCACCGAAGTGTACACCTGAAATTAATGTTATACTGTATGTTAACTAACTGGAATTTAAGTAAAAACCTAAAAAAATACTAAATAGATGAGGCATTAAAAAAAAAGTAAAATAAATTAAAATAACCTGTTTTATATAAGCAGCAAAAGAAAATCTTAACCAAAAGTCCTTGTGGGAAAATACCCGAAGATTATGATACTGGCCCACCATTATTAGTAGAGCATGCACTTAAAAAAAAAAAAAAAAGACTATTTTAAAATAATCTGCATGTCCAATGTGGGGCTCAAACTTACAACCCCAAGATCAAGAGTCACACATTCTACTGACTGAACGAGCCAGATACCAATCCTAGAGCATGCAGTTTTAAAGTGATTTCAAAAACTGGAAATGACATTTATAGTAATCCATCCACACTCCTTTCCTCAAGACTAGTATTTTTTGGATGACTGGTGGCACTATTAGATGGTATCAAAACAGTTTAATGTCCTACATAAAAATTTAACTATAACTTTGGCCTAATTCAAATTACCCTTCTAAGCAATCTTTTTTATATTTGGCTTTTATGCCAGACACATGCAAAGCACAATTAAAGTATTAAATAAAGTATTAGTTTGTCCACCATATGTTGTATTTTCAATAGTTATATTTTGGACATTTGTAAGTTTTTTTTAATGAAAATGTCTTAAAATAAATAAGTAAATGAAAATGTCTTGATTTCTTTAAGACAGACTTTAGACCTATGCAAAATTTTTTTAATTCCAAAAGTAAAAATGTTCATTTCAAAGTAATTAAAGTATCATATATACCTTATGTTCTTTCTCAGAGGTAAATTGTTCTTGATTTCCCGTACCTGTGCTAGGTGTGCATGTAGCAGACTTTTGACCGTTCAAGTACAGAAAATGTGTTGGCTGTTGGTTCAATCATACAATCTAGCCTATTAGCTATAACTTGGATATGTGATGTTGAAAATCAGTAAAAATGGAGGAAAAATAATTTTCTCATTATCTGTATCTATAAAATATCTGTATCTATAAAATAATTTTCTCATTATCTGTTACTCTTTTCCACTTTTACAAACTGATTTTTACTTTTACAAACTGATTTCTGGCTGTCACTTATTTCATTTCTTAATTTAATCAGCCTTGAATCAGCCTTATATTTTTTATCTCATTAACCACACTATTTAAAATGTAACCTGATCTCACCAAACAAAAAATAAAACAAAAAAATAAAATAAAATCTAACCTAAATTTAAACAGAACAGGCTTTCTTAAACTGTGTTTGTGTTCCTTGGGGAAAAAAACAGAAGTGAGAAGAGTCTATAATAGTCAAATTAAGTTAAAAGATTCCAAGAAATCACATAGGAATAAACCCTAAGTTCTATTTTATATATCCCAAACTTGTGGTCTTTGAACATGCAATCTGTTTTAATATGTTTGAGAAATATACGCACATGTACATGTATATAGTCCAGTTATGAAGTAAATCCGAGTGATGCTATAACCAACTACAGACATAAAAACAATCATGAATATTAATCAGACTTCCTCTCATGTAATACCAGATGAACTGTAAGTGCCCCTTGTCCCTTTACATTCTGTATAAGGAGAGAACGAATAGGTCAGGAGCTGCTAATTATAATTTATCTCAACACTGGTTTCCAGCTCACAGCATGGTAAGCTTACTTCATTTGCTTACTCTAATTTCAAGAAATCAAAGCAAAAAATGGTACACTAAAAAGTATATCTCATACAGTGATACCATGCTGAAGTTTGGCATATGGATAGTATGAATCAAATTCTGACACACAAACTTTTTTTCTTCTTTTTGAGTAAAATGTCTGTTACAAGCAGCCTGTGTTTTTCCCAAAACCAGCCACAAAAAGGTAACTGATTATATTAGTTCTCAAAACTTCAAAAACACCACAAAAGGCAATTTTTAAAAGAAGTATTACAGCTAATAGTAAAACATTCTTTCAATAGTACTATTTGTTGCAGTGAGAAAAGATTGATTTTTCTGAAGGATCCCAACCGTCATAATATTCTATTTTACATCCCCCCATTTCCCTCATACACATAAACATATAGACATCCATATTACAAAACCTAATGATTTCACATATATTAAAAAAGGCTCCATAAATGTTGGAAAAGCTAAAGCTAATGAAACAAATGGCATATGTCAAATACAAAACTGGCACGTGTTAAGACTTTAAAGAAATTATAGAAGATTTCAGTTAAATATCTTTAAATTGTCACAAGAAAACCAATGAAAACACAGCTCTAGTAGATAACTAAAAATTATGGTGAATATATCTTTTGCTTCAATATTTGATTCTAAAATGTGGCCATAAGCAAGACTTATGTATATATATTTCTTTAACGAACAGCTTAATTGCAGAAGCCCAAACACATTTTAGATTTATCTTTTTTTTTTTAAGATTTTATTTATTTATTTGACAGACAGAGACCACAAGTAGGCAGGGAGGCAGGCAGAGAGAGAGAGGAAGGGAAGCAGGCTCCCTGCTGAGCAGAGAGCCCTATGTGGGGCTCGATCCCAGGACTCTGGGATCATGACAGGAGCCAAAGGCAGAGGCTTTAACCCACTGAGCCACCCAGGCGCCCCCATTTTAGATATATCTTAACCTCGTTTTTCTTCAACTGTGCTCTGCAGACCCAGGAGGGCCAGTAGATCTATAGAAGCATATTTTTAATTTTAATTTCAATGGTAATTTCAACTATTAAAAGTTCAGTGACCAAAAAAAAAGAAAGAAAAAAATAGTTCAGTGACTAAAAAAGATCACTAGATATCCTACCTCAGTTAAGTAATGAAATGGAAGTTGCAATATGTTCACTCCAATGGCACCACGTAAGAACTTACAACCTAAAGTGAAAGTACTAAGTAGTGTTCAGACCAGTCCAGAAGCATTCTCAGGAGTCCTTAGGTTTTCATAGTTGAGAAATATTGCTCTTAACTTTTGTAAGTAGGCTTTTAGCTAGAAATGAAACTCAAAACCCTGTGAAAAGTCTAACTTCTATAACATATCTAACTTTAATTACTTTATTATTAACCCCCCTTTAAAAAAAAACCCAGGACCTCTTTATTAAAAAGTATCAAATTTATTTCAGTATCTAGTTTCACTTTTAAATTAAAGCTGGTGGACAATTTTTTATAATTTAAAATTCATTATCAGAGGTGAGGAAAATATTAATAAGCTATTATATACTGACAGCAAATAAAATTATTAGACGTGCATTTATAAAAGCCATGTTTAATAGTAAAAAGTTCCAGTTATACTACTTAGCTGAAGGAAATATGCTTTAGCTCTTTATTTCTAATTTTAACACATTCTCATTTTGACATAATTTGCCTTTTTCACCCAATTACTAGTATGATGAACAAAATTTTTCCAAATGTTAAAGTTTTACCACTTATGCAATAGGACTTAAACTTTTTTAGAATTCCTTACAAGAAGTCTGAAATTTTAATTGTCACCATGAACGTGCTTGATCATAGAATATCATTATTAGTTAAATTAAAATGAAGACTGGAATAAAAACACAAAAGTGGCATCTATATAATGAACAAATTATGTGGTAAGACATTTTAACTACTTTACATTTCTACATAGCACAATAAAGAATAAACTTGTTCCAAGGAAACACAAAGTTGGCATTTTTACTGCAAGCTTTAAATCATAGTGTTATTCTACTCAACAAGACATCTCTAAGAAAATGGCAGTTTTACAAGTACAAAAACTGTTCTATCTGGTAGGTGGTATTCTACATAGCCAATAGGAGAGTTCTTTATAAAACGAGATTTTAAAAAAGGCAGAATGTCTGATAATTATCTCAAAGGCTAATGAGAAAAATGCAAAACATGGTCATGGGTTAGTATGTGGCTTTGAGAAAGCCAGAAATTATTCTATTCCAAGAAAGAAGCAATAATAATAAAAGATGTAAATAATATACTATATGCCTTTTTAAGCCAAAGCACACTTTCACCTCAGGACAGTTTTGATTTTTAAATTCTCAAGTCCCTTTGTCCTGAACAGGACCCCATTCTTAGCCATTATTTGAATAGAGTTCATAATGTATAGTCATTTTTCTCCACAGGCTGTTTTCATTTCAGAACATAAGCTGCAAAGTGGCAAATGACTAAGTCAATTATAAAGAATTTATAGCATAATAAATGCCAGTTTACAGTAACTGTCAACAGACTTCTACACCAAAATCTAAAAGTTGCTGCAGTAGAGGTCACAACTAACATGATTCTTACAGGTGCTCCAACTTTGTTTACAACAAATTACTGCCATAAAAACCAGAAAAGAAACCTTAGTGGGTCCTTTCAACACTGCATTAATTTTCCAAATTATATTCTTCTGGTTCTATAGCCTGTTTGTTCATTCCTTCAATCCTTTTTTAGTCGTTTAGCTTTTGCAATATTTTCTTGACGTTTTTGTTTCTTCTTTTGCTCCTTTTCCCTGGCCTCAATCATCTTGGCCAATTTCCAGGACAGTACTGCACTTGCTAGAAACAATGGAGTAAGGGCCAGGATAACTGTTGTAAGGAAGCCATATGGGTCCTTTGCAGCCCATTCCACAACATACTCAGCCCAAGCCTTTATATCAAACATCTTTGTAGCTGTCTTTGGAAAAGAAAAGAGAGGGGCAAGAAGAGAAAAGACTTCGTGATTAATCAAATTTTTAAAGAGTTACATCATACAATTATTTAACTCAGAATTCTGTTATTACTGATTAGCTTTTGTTTTTAAAAACCATCAATTAGTACTATTTTAATATGGACTGTTACCTCCAGTTAAGAAGAAACAAACTAGGGTAACACTTAAAAGATTTAAGGTATAGAAGATAAAAGTAAAAACCATCTGGAATCTGTCATAGGGACTATGCATTCTTTGTAGTCAAGACAAATTTTATTTAGCACAGACTTTTGAAAGAATCTTAAGAACTCATTCCAGGAAACAGCAGAATCCTGTTATTTTTTTTGACACAGCCTTAGTATTAAGTACTAATTAACAAAAGTATGATTCATCAAATTTGGTGTATGAAAAGGACAAGCCACAGAGTACATGAAATGCTTGGGGAAAGGAAGGTAATGGAGGGCTGTTTCCAAGAATGAAAAGGACGGGGTATGGGAAGCGTGGAAATATCCACATTCATATGCAAAGAGATACAAGCAAAAAATGACATGCTATTTTATGCCCTCTTTTGGCTCTGGAGACTCCTCCTTGAGGACATAATTTAATAAATGACAAAATTACCCATAACAGGCGCCATGCATTTTGTTCCACTGAGTTGGTATGGGAGGGCAATCTGGTAAATAAGAATGGAATGGATCTGAGTGACATTTTCTATTTTGCCTCAGAGGCTTTTCAACCTTTCGTTTTGTGTCGACTTCTACTCAAAGGTGAAAATTAAGAATACTTGGGTAGGAATGGGTGTACATACAACCACAATTTCAGCTGGGATTTAAAGTCATCTACCTTATGCTTGAGTACTTCTTTCCAACTTTGTCCTGGGATTATTAATGGGCCAATTAAAATTTCAGATGACCCTTGCTTGTTTGTCTTCTTCTTTTTTAGCTCTACCATACACTCGTGAGAGAAGGTTTAAATTTTACATACTGGGTGGGTTGAAAAGAACAGATAAAAGAAAAAAAGTTTAAGTCACAACTTTCAGGATAACTTTAAAACACTTTCAAATGGACAATTTCAAAACTGTCTATTTGCAACCTATAAATGACATGTAAAACTGCCTGGCACATTATGGACATTTAATACCTATTTCTTCCTAATTTGAAGAAAATCATTACTACAATTGCAAAGGCACTCTAAGAAAATCCTATTGGAGTAATTACAAATATTTTACTAAGTTACTTCAAAAATAAAATTATGAAGCTCACGGACATATAAAAATAAATTAATTCACTGATAAGTTACAGCACATCCATTCCTAGGTTTTTAACTTTTTATACTAAAAAAGTCGTTAACTTGTAAGGTTAGGTACATAATTAAAAATTCTACATCTCACTTTATTCTTTAAAGGATTTTTGGTCTCCCTATTATACAATAGTGTTCTTTACAGAAAACCAAAACAAAATATAGATCAGCCACGATCCCGTTACCTCAATGAAATTACCACTGGCTTTAATATCCTTCCACCGGTCTCTTCCTATTTTCAACAGAAAACACTAAAGTGCCGCTAGTATATTGTTAAATAGTCCAGCCCCCCCCTCCCCCCGCCCTTGAATTCTTAGGCCCACACAGAGATCCCATCTGTTCCTTCAAGCTTCTCCAGCACGGTAATGAATTAACTAAGGCAATATGCAAAAAAGAGTAACGCGGAAGTGAAGGACCTGGTTTGTGGCTAAGTTTTAGCCGTTAACACAAAAAAGTTATCGTCCACAGGCCACAAAGCTCCCGTGCACTTCAATTTAGGACCCAAACGCACGTGTCTCCACACTTGGAGGAATCCGTATCACTCTTCTTTCCGTAAAGGGTCGACCGGGCTTGATCTCCAAACCAGACCTGCCCGGCGCCTGAAGCTGCCCCAGACGGTACTTCACCGCGATCCGCACGTCCCGGCCATCCCTGCTTCGCCCTTGCTCCTTCCTGCTTTACTATCCCATCCGGCCGCCTGCCCGGGGTCCACGTTGAAGCACCCCTCGGCCTCAGCGGGCAATAGCCCGAGGTGGGGGGCTCGGAAAGCGAGTGGTTTCCAGGAATCTGGACTTGGTCCCGCCACAGCCCAGTCCGCCGGCGCCGTGGCCACCTCCTCCGGGAACGCGAGCAGAAAGGTCACCAGCAGCCCAACCTACACCACGGCCGGGCCCCTGGGTTCAGACCCCTACTCCCAACTCACCTCCAGGCCGGAAGCAGGAAGGCGGAAGCCGCGGCTTTCCCGTCCCGCCCACAGGCCGGCCTCAGCCCCGAGTGGGCCTGAGGAAGTCGAGGGGCCAGTTTCCGGCTGCGCCATTGCTATGTGGGTCCCGGGACTTGGGCCTCGGGGACTCGCGGGGGTGGGGAGGACGGGGGAGGATGGCGCCCGGCTACCCGGGGAGCGGCAGGTGAGGCCGCGCCGGGCGTGTGGCAGCGCCCCGGCTGGCCTCTGGCGGGGAGCCCGAGACAGTCGCCTGCTGCCGGGACGAAGGGGCGTGGGTGGACTCAGTCTCCAGGAGGCGGTCCGGAACCCTGCCGGCCCTCTGCCCCAGATGTCAGCCGGGAGACAGCTCCCTGCCGTGCTGGAACCAGACCGTTGATGGCGGGCCCCGGTGGGTGATGTATGTAGCCCCTCAAAACAGGCTGAAGAGCGGCGGCAAGAAAGGAGTTGGTCTCCGCAAACCGCCCGAAGTCAAGGTGAGGGTCCCGCAGAGACTGTTGAAGGATTCTGGCGAGTTCCTCCTCCCGGTTCACACTCCACCCTTTGCCCCTCTCATCTTCTGGTTGGACAATAGTTAAAGCCTCACGTACTGCCGACAATGAAGCAGCTGGACCATGGTGGCTCCACCGAACCCTATTACTAAGGAAAAATGCAACCGTTCTGGGTGAAGAGGGGATTTTTGCTGTTTGTTTTTAGTTTGAGAACCTAACTCATTTCTCTCTCTCTCTCTCTCTCTCTCTCTCTCACACACACACACACACACACACACACACACACGAAATGAACCGTACTTGCCCAAAGTACTCGGTAAATAAACTGGGCATAGAATTCCCAGAGATACTTGTTCTTTCAATACACAAAGGGATGCAAAAGTCAACAAGCAGAAAGAATGAGCTTAATATTGTCTTCTAATCTACAGGAACTGAGAGATTAACTCTGGTTTGGTTGGTGACCAAATTTTATGATTGCTTGCACCAAGCTGCTCTGTTTGACTACCGCTGAGAATGTTGCAAGACCTCTTCACTTTTGTGTGCCAAATACAGCGGGTTTTTATTCTTGAGAGACTAGAGAATGTTCTCTTTGAGGAGCAAGCTGTGACATGCATAACTAGTTTAGATATAACAACAGTAACTATTATTTACCAGGAAACAGGCTTTTGGCAAATAATCTAGTGATCAAAAATACTGTTCGTTGGGCATATGTTAATGTTTGTATGTTGTATTAGCAGCAGTTGTTTTCTTACTCATTCTTGTTTGAAAACTTGGATGATGGTTTCAAAGCTTGTGCTGCTTGGACCTAACCTGTACTTGTAGTAGCCAGAAAAAGCAGACTTGGTCACTTCACTTGCTAGAGGGAACTATGTGAGCTCTAAAAAACTGGTTCAAATAGTAACTGCAGGAGGGGGTCAGGATGTATTTTAACATCCTTCACTCCAGAGGCCAAGGTGTGTGTGTGTTTTGATTTAATTATGGATACACAACATACCCAATTACTGCCTTCCCAGTAGTTTGCTCTGCTGCTTCCCTTGTTAAATGCACTGGAGACTTGAGCTGCAAAAAAGGGTGCATAAGAAAGAAGCCTCTGTAGCTCTTTGGCTGTAGTCTCGACCCTGCCTTCACAGCCTAATACTACCGACCTAGTTTTCAGTTCCAGGACAGAATGCAAGCCCAGGAGTAATAGGGGTTGCCACAGCTGAGCCCCTTCATGCAACCTGCATTGCTTTCATGAAAGATGGTACCAAGATTGGTTCAGATACTGAGCACTATTTTCTGTAGTGAGGAGTCTTGTGAGTTGTGAAACTGCTGATCTGTATACACTGTAAGTCACTCTGAGCTTATTTCCTCTTTATGTGGAACGTACTCTAGGTCATCTCTAGTGTTCTTTCAGCTTTAAAGTTATGTCAGTTGGACTGGGCTTGGCCATTTTTCTAACTTATGCTTCGTAAGTGGCAGCGGAACAAGGAATTTAGTGGAAACATAGCCAATTTTCTTAAGGTCTTATTCTTTATTTGAAAAGATCCTCAATTGGATTTTATTCTTTCACAAATGCCTTTAAGAATGCCAACTTAGAATAACAAGAAAATAAGCTCTGCTTGTGTTTATTTTTAAGAAATCTTACTCATGTAACCTGAGCCAAATTAACAAGGCTTTAAACTATTAAGGATTTGTCTTTGCATAATTCCTGTGTAGTGTATCGTGCCTCCCGCCCCATTCACACTAGTTATCTTGAAAAAAAGAACATTACAAAATTTTAACTGTTTTTTTTTCCTCTTGAGAAGGTAAGCCCTACTCTGTCATTTGTTTAAAAAGTCTTTTTTTTTTTGGTGGCAATGCTGGGGACCGAATAAAAAGTATTTTTCTGTTGGTGGTACAAAGTTGCATTTCCTCTTGACTTATGTCAAAATTGTGAGTGAAAAAAAAATCATGAATGATGTAAAACCTGAACAAGATTCCATTATAAAAACCTAAACTTGACTAAAGATCTTGAGAACTTTCCTACCTGCTCAACATTTGGTGCTTATTTCTCTGCAGTAACAGTTCACATATTTGACTTAATTTGATGAAACTGGTTTCCTCCCTACATTTTATTGTTAGTTTCTTCCTTTAATTGAAACATAATGAAAATACATTTCTTTTTTTTTAAGAGTTTATTTATTTGAAAGAGTGTGCACACGGGTGCAGGCCAAGTGGGGGGAAGGGCAGAAGGAGAGGGATAAGCATCCTCCCCGCTGAGCAAGGAGCCAGATGTGAGGCTCTATCCCAGGACCCCAAGATCACAACCTGAACCAAAATCAGACAGTTAACTGAATGAGCCACCCAAGCGCCCTGTAAATACATTTCTTAAAGGGCACAGTTATTGATTAAAAAGTAATAATCAGGTCTTAGCAGTATTTGCAAGATATTGAAGAATAATAATTTCTTAAAAGCTCTTTATTGAGTATTCACTATATACCAGGTACTGGGCTAGATGCTTCAGATCTATTATTACTAATCCTGGGACTAAACAACCCCAAATGATAATGTTCTCATACCCATTTTACAGATAAGGAATCAGAGACTTGAAAAGGAGTAGAGCAGGTTTTTAAACCCATCTGGCCAAAATCCCTGCTCTTCCTTAATATCCAAAGACTTGTCAAAAAATGTTGATTTCATAAAATGAAAGTATATTTTTTAATTTTGTTAATTAACTGATTATCACAATCAAAAATTTTCCATACTTTAGAATTTCTTATTGCCCAGGTGGTGGCAGCATGTCTCAAAGAGCTAGTGTGGTGCAAAAGGTTCTCTCCAACTTTGCCAGTTGATTTGCTTCTTCATCACACATACGTGATCTCCGTCAACTAACTCCTCTGTTAGGCTCTCGATACTATTAGACCAAGCCATCATTAACTGTGTTTCCCATCCTCCCATCTGCCTCGGCTTCTGAATAGGTCCTACTCTGCTAGTTTGCTTTCAGTCTGTTTTACTTAGAAAGAACCACAAAACTACTGTTTTTTAGAATATTCATGTAGACCTATCCAGAAACACACAGATTTTTTTTCAAATATTATTTTTCACAGATTGTTAAATGTAATTTGGAAGAAACATATACTGAAACAATGACCTAATGTTATAGAATACTTATTTAAAATAGAAGGCATGCTTCTTAAACTTAGGGAATACACCAATTAAGGAGGTAATGAAAAGCTTTTAAAAGAATTAGTCTTCAAATTAAGAACAAGAACATTCAGGAGGGAGCAGTGCAAGGTTAAACAATTCAGAAGGAATGCATATATAGCAGAATAACTAGTTAAACCTACTTCATCCAAAAATTGTTTGGAACATTATTCTCATCTTTATAGGGCAGATGTTACCTCCTCACAAAAACCCCTCTCTACCCCTTATCACTTAATTTTTTTTTCATAGCACTCCAATCTGACAACTTGTTTACCAGTTTGTCTGTTTTTCCTCCTAGAAGGTAAGCAATATATGATCAGTTACCTCAGTATCTAAGAATATTGTTTTGAGTAAATGATTCCAAGATACAGCATTGCTCCCACAAATAAAACTGTTAGTTTTACTTTAATTTGTAGTTTGAACAAATCATGAAATAACCTAAATCTTGGGAAGTTGTAAAGTTTGTATTAAAGTACTAAACAGTTGTAGTATGTTTTCAGGGTAATAATGGATGCCCCAGTCTAAAGATAAGCAGGTAAGGTGTTTGGAGAAAGGTAAAGTAATTGTGATTATCTTGTTAATGAAAGAATACTAGTTGCCTGATAATTTCCAAGTGTGTAACAAGGAAAATAGACTATTAGTGCTAAGATTTATGATAAGAACAAACTGGAGTAGGTATCTTTATATAGGGATCTTTGAAAATAGGGCAAAAGTGTATGTGCAGACTAGATGCTCTCTCTAGATATTTTCCAGCTTCATTATTCCCAATGCAGATTGCAGGAGAAATACTTAGATTGAACAGCAGATACGACTCTTACTGATTTTTCCTTGCTGCCCAGGGCTGCTTGTATACATTTAGAAACATTCAGTGTGTTTGGTTATATATTGCTGCTTTGGGTAATTTACAGAATTTTTTCATAAAGTGCTGAAAATTAGGTATTTCTGTTTTTGTAACACCAAAACACTGTTTACAATTCTTTATCTTCAGAATGTACTGTACATGAACATGCAGCTAACTAGTTCCCTGTGAATAGAGGACATCATTTTGGAAAGGTAGAATTTCCGGTAAATCCTGTGAAGCCTTGGGTTGCAGTCAGTGCTGTTGAAGTTGTGAGATACTAAACTTCCCTGCTGAATCTGGAAATTCAAATTTTAGGTCTGCCCCTAAATGATGAAATTGTATCAATCATGTCAAGTTACTTTTGTTGTCTGTCCCAGAGTCTCCTATTAAATAAGAATTGTTATCCCAGTTGGGAAAACTAATCCATGTCTAAGAATCCTTCAGTGTAAAAATCTTGTGTATTACAGAAGCACCCCCTAGCAATATCACTTTCACTGGGTAGAATTTGAATTTGATACCTTCACCTAAACAAGGTGAGTTACTTTTAGTAGTAACCATATAAAGTATTTTAACCATATTTGTTCAATGATACTGTCAGGGACATTGTTCTCCATGTCATAGAGTACCCTTTATATAAAGTCCCATATAAGATACATGAGAATGTGATTCAAAAAAACTTTTGGAAGCCACTTTTTGATAGTGAGAGTTTTGCCTCTTTGATTTGACTGTCAGGATGCTCAAGAACCAAATTTGAAGTTCGTATTTAACATCTATCCTGACCTGCATACTTGCATTTCCTTTTAAACACATTTTTCATAGGACAGGTATTTTCTATCTGTAATTATTATATGTGTTAATTTAGTAAGATAAGTCCTTGGTCAAATAAGGGACAGTTTGGTTGCCTTTTTATCAAGTGTTTGAAACTCAGACTTAACAGAGACTTTTGATATGTAACAAGTCGTTATTTGCTAGTAAAATT